CCTGTTTGAGTTTGTAATCTGTCACTATTCTAATGATGTTCGCACCCAAATTATATAGTGTGAATGTTTCTTCTCCAGGAAGATGTCCCTTCAAAGTTCTATGTGCAATTCAGATTATATATATGTGATTTAGTTATTCTTAGTTTGTTACCTGCATATCCTGCACATATGTAATAATATGTTTTTGATCACTGCTCCCTTAGCAGAGTGGGTGGTTAGAAATGTCCCCGGAGACACTGCCATGAAGTGGCTCCTATGTCAGGTGAAGCCGAGCGCAGAATTTCTCTGTGGATGCTTCATAAGCCAGCAACCTTAGACTAGCCTGTGGTGCTTGCTAAAGCTTTAGTATACAGGTTCCTGAGCTTCATCCCAGATCGACTGTGCACTACTAGGTTTGAGGCCTGGATATTCTCATTTTGTACCAGATCTAGTTTGAGACCAGTTTGTGAGCAGGTGTCCTGGTGGGTAAGGATGGCAGCAGCCTGCTAGTGGGGCTGGCCTGAGCAGGGAGATGAAAATGTGCTCCAGAAGGATAGCCATGGACATGTAGCTGGCACATCATGGAAATCAGAAGCCCACCCATGTGGGCCAGCGTGAGAGGGCGGGGCTAGCGCTGGAAGGACAGGGTTCCCTGGGAGATCTGAACACAGGTGACTGGGCTCGGCTCTCAGGATCTACCCCTACGGGGGCCTGAGGGGAGCGAGACTGGGGAGAGATGCAGTCACAAGAGGCCTTGGGCAGTCTTGCAAGGCCCTGGAACAAGACGGCCTTTCAGAGCCATCCTCCCCGGGGCCAGGCAGACTGCGCCTGCGGCCCCTTACCTGACCCGGCTGCTCCTGAGGAGACTGCTCAGCTTGGTAAGGCGGTTATCTTCTGTGGAAGCAGCCTCCAAATCCCTACTCCTGGAGCTGAGATTCTTCAGTCCTAGTGGGGCAATGAGGTGGCAGGATGCCCCCTGCAGCAGGTGTGGTCTTGGGCCAAGTGCAGCTTCTGTGGGTCGTGGTGAACAAGCATTTCCTGTCATGCAGCCACTCACTCACATACTGTCCATGGCTGCTTCCCTGCTGCAGTGGTGGAGATGAGGGGTTGTGCCAGAGCTGTAAGAGGAAGTTCGCTTCAGACCCCCCGAGGTAGAAGTGGCCCAAGGGGTCTTCTCCAATAGAACGTGTTCAGCTGCTTCCAGACATGAGAGTGGCAGAGGGCAGGTAGGAGGAGGGGAAGTGAGCAGAGGGGAACATTTTAGCTTGGGAAGGATGCCTCTTTTAAAAATTTGCCTCTGGCTCTTCAGGTAAAGGGGTTATCCTCCCAGAAACCCCACTGAGCTGACCTGCAGCCTGCCTCAAGGCTCTTTCTTCCTTTTATACGATGGGATCAAACTAGGAGGACCATGATTATTTTTACCAAGGTGATACAATGCACAAGAGGATTACTATTTTATGTTTTTAAAACTCATTTGCTATAGGAAAAGAAGGTGGACAACTCACTACCTCATCTGTTTAAACAGGGTCTGGGATGCCCTGGAGCCCTAAGGTCTGTGAGAGTGGGAAGGGGAGGCTCCAGGACTTGGGCTCAGTGCACTCAGAGACATACACCTGGGGTCACTGGCTGGCCTCGGTGGGTGTCTGAGCCAGCAAGAACCCCCAGGCTCCGCTGTCCCCTTCAGCAGAGGATGTGGTGCTTTTCTGTCATTTGCTAGATAGGTGGTTTCTATAACAACGGGCTGCACTTAAATAGATGCAGCTCATTTCTTTGTTCTGGAGGAGAGTGGCGTTTCAAAGACTGTTCTGTTTTGCTGATCACTTTCAAGACCGAGGAGACGTTCTGACTCACAACTTCACAGGGACTAAGTCATCGCCATGAGCTCTGAATATAAAAAAAAGCCCCTGAGCCCCAGCTCTGTCCTTCCAAATCAGATCCCTTGAGAGTGGAGCCCCACAGCATCGGCTTTAGGAAAGCAAGCTCCCTGGTGGCCAGGGTGCCCCCTGGTTTGGGGAGCAGTGACTTGGCACGGCTGCCGCATCCACCACGTCCAGGGGAATGCGTTTCTGTGCCCACCAAGAACACATCTGTGCGGGGATGAAATAACAGTGAGGGACTCCTGTTTTCATGGGTTGGCATTTAGGGATGTGGTGGGACCATTAGGGTTTAGATTTTACATGTATAAACTGCAGATCTTTCATTCATCCTTCCAAAATACAGTCAACAAATATTTAAATGTTTACTGACCATCCATTACATTGTAGACATTTTGCTAGTCTCTGTGGGTACCAACAAGTATAGAAAGAAACCCTGCCTTCAAGGAGTTCACAGTCTGGCCACTGTGTCCACTACACTGACCAGTGCCTGGTAGTGTGCAGGCTGGACGCTACTGAGGGCTGAGCTGGGGCTCCACTCTGAACTCCTGAAACTATCCTCGGGCTCTTCTGAGTCTACCGTCTATCTGATCATATGTGATGATACCCTTTAGAAAGAGTAAGACTGTCTTGGAACATGCCGGGACACACAGAGTCACACTAAGTGCATCTTCACCTCCTTTCTTATGTCGTGGCTGTCTCCTCAGAGTCAGGAATCCTGCTCCCACTTGGAAGCAATGCTGAAGGTGCAAGTCTCTCATTATGATCATGGTCAGGCTTTGAGACTTTCTTGAATGAAAGGATTCTGTAAAATACAGTTTATTTTTGGAAACTTGCCTAAGTAAACTCTCCTAAAAGGAAGTCACAGAGAACAAGGTGAAGGACTGCAGTGACACTGAATAAGAAGAATGGAGCAAGGCCATTGAACTGGGACTCGGGAGCCGTCAGTGACTTCATGGTGAGCAGTTCCTGCCCATGGCACAGACACAAGCCAGAACATGTGAGTGTGAGAGGGAGTTGGTGAAAGAGTAGAATTAAGCTGAGCTCAATGACTTGTTCAAGATAAATGGGGGCAGGTAACGGGGGAACTGTGGTCAGAAAAAAAACATGGCTAAAGAAACAAGGCCATTGAGCACAAAGAGTGGGGTTAGAGTAGGAGCTGGGGGACTTGCAGGGAGGCAGAGCAAACACCAGAGGCTAGTGCTTCTATCACTCAGGTGGGCAGGCCCTGAACATAACAGGGGAGGGCTGCATGGATGGCTCTGCTGTGGCCTTTTGGCAAAACAAGTCATGAGACCAGATCAGACTGAAAGGATTAGGAAAAAGACATTTGCTAGGAGGACTGAAAAGCCACATTGCACATAGGTGTGGGTGCAGGGAGGGGGATAATGAGAGCAGATTTTGCACATATCTACCACATTTTCCTTTTGCTTCTGTGAATAGGCAGAGCCCACCATACTGGAATGTAATTCACACTTCATTGCTTGCACAGAAATTCAATGCCTTCCTGAGGGTTGAGGTCTGGCCAGGCACCCACTGGGTGAATCAGTGATAACCCAGTTCTTACATTCCCACTGCTTGGTCTTAGGCCCGGAGAAGAGACTTCTTGGTCCTGATTACCTCAACATGCTCTGTCACCCTTTGAACTTAAAAGGCTTTTCGTAACAGCTTGCTACCCAAGGAGCCAGTTCTGGGAGGAATGTCTAATGCTCCCACAACAATACGGAAGAGGCAGTTGAGCCCCATGACTTCTGGGAATATCCAACTCAAAAATGTCATCTCAGCACAAAGCCCAGTCTTTTCAGATGGCCAACAGCACTACAGCTAATATAATTAAGAAATAAACTTCCTAGGTAATGGCCGTGGCCGCCCTTCCCTCTCCACTGCACCTTCCCTGTGCTGATGGGAACTACCTCTAGGATATCCTTCCAGTTGAACGGTGCTGGTGATGATTCCAGTCCTGTACCCAGTAACCCTCTTCCACAGGATGGTCCTGGAATATCAAATATACTGCATGCTCTCCACACGGCACCATTAACATTCCTCATGTGCCTTTTGTGAGAATTACAAGCTAATTACAGAATACATAATTAAGTGCTTCATCTTTCAAATGTGAGAGAAGCAACCAAGCGGTCCTCCCTTTGAGATTGATTTAACCACTAGTGATTAGTGACATGATTCATTCTGAAATGGGAGGGGTGTGCTCTGAAGCATTATAGATGGTTGGAACCACAGGACACGTTTGATTGATTTTTTCCCTGTAAAAATAGAGTTGATTGGAAACCCCTTTCTTCTCACCCTTTGTGAATCATTGTTTAGTTCTCATTGGACTTGTGGAGCATAACCTCTTCTCACTGGCTGAGGTCAAAGTAGTGGGTCTACTAGGCATAAGACAGCTGTAATGTTCCTGCAGCATCTTACAGTCAGTGAAGCTCATCTGTGCTCACCTCCCATTCAGCCCGACAAGCCTGTGATGGGGTCTCTGGTCTCTGTTTTGCAGCTGAGAGTCCTGGGGCTCAGTGGGGTCACTCAGAGTCATGTCTCTGACTCAGCAGTGACTGGGGCCCCTGGCCGGCGTCAGTGCGGTCCCAGCATCCCAGGCACTGCCTCCTGTAATATAAAGGAAGGGTGGGCAGTCAGAGGCCAGCATGAATGTGTGTCCCGAGAATTCTCTTGTGCTTCATGCAGCTGGATGCTTCTCTTCATGAGATCTGGTGGGGGTGGAGTTATGAAAACACAAAGTAAACAGGCTGACTCATCCGCTTAAGGAAATAGATGCAATACTGTGTGGATGTTGAGATTTGATTATGGGGTTGGGCTTTGTTATGATTTTCCTTAAAATGGCTTAGGAAGTGTGGAGTAAGCCTCCATAGACATGAGGATGCCATATGTATAAGGAAAAACTCTGTTACATCTCTACTAACAACACTTCCAATACCAAATGTGTGGGTTCTTCCCATACCAGCCAATTATCTGACACCAGCTGGGTATCCTACCATTCAAGTCAGTTCTGACACCATCTTTCTGGAGGGGGTATCAGGTTGTTTTCATGGGTTGGCATTTAGGGATGTGGTGGGACCATTAGGGTTTAGATTTTACATGTATAAACTGCAGATCTTTCATTCATCCTTCCAAAATACAGTCAACAAATATTTAAATGTTTACTGACCATCCATTACATTGTAGACATTTTGCTAGTCTCTGTGGGTACCAACAAGTATAGAAAGAAACCCTGCCTTCAAGGAGTTCACAGTCTGGCCACTGTGTCCACTACACTGACCAGTGCCTGGTAGTGTGCAGGCTGGACGCTACTGAGGGCTGAGCTGGGGCTCCACTCTGAACTCCTGAAACTATCCTCGGGCTCTTCTGAGTCTACCGTCTATCTGATCATATGTGATGATACCCTTTAGAAAGAGTAAGACTGTCTTGGAACATGCCGGGACACACAGAGTCACACTAAGTGCATCTTCACCTCCTTTCTTATGTCGTGGCTGTCTCCTCAGAGTCAGGAATCCTGCTCCCACTTGGAAGCAATGCTGAAGGTGCAAGTCTCTCATTATGATCATGGTCAGGCTTTGAGACTTTCTTGAATGAAAGGATTCTGTAAAATACAGTTTATTTTTGGAAACTTGCCTAAGTAAACTCTCCTAAAAGGAAGTCACAGAGAACAAGGTGAAGGACTGCAGTGACACTGAATAAGAAGAATGGAGCAAGGCCATTGAACTGGGACTCGGGAGCCGTCAGTGACTTCATGGTGAGCAGTTCCTGCCCATGGCACAGACACAAGCCAGAACATGTGAGTGTGAGAGGGAGTTGGTGAAAGAGTAGAATTAAGCTGAGCTCAATGACTTGTTCAAGATAAATGGGGGCAGGTAACGGGGGAACTGTGGTCAGAAAAAAAACATGGCTAAAGAAACAAGGCCATTGAGCACAAAGAGTGGGGTTAGAGTAGGAGCTGGGGGACTTGCAGGGAGGCAGAGCAAACACCAGAGGCTAGTGCTTCTATCACTCAGGTGGGCAGGCCCTGAACATAACAGGGGAGGGCTGCATGGATGGCTCTGCTGTGGCCTTTTGGCAAAACAAGTCATGAGACCAGATCAGACTGAAAGGATTAGGAAAAAGACATTTGCTAGGAGGACTGAAAAGCCACATTGCACATAGGTGTGGGTGCAGGGAGGGGGATAATGAGAGCAGATTTTGCACATATCTACCACATTTTCCTTTTGCTTCTGTGAATAGGCAGAGCCCACCATACTGGAATGTAATTCACACTTCATTGCTTGCACAGAAATTCAATGCCTTCCTGAGGGTTGAGGTCTGGCCAGGCACCCACTGGGTGAATCAGTGATAACCCAGTTCTTACATTCCCACTGCTTGGTCTTAGGCCCGGAGAAGAGACTTCTTGGTCCTGATTACCTCAACATGCTCTGTCACCCTTTGAACTTAAAAGGCTTTTCGTAACAGCTTGCTACCCAAGGAGCCAGTTCTGGGAGGAATGTCTAATGCTCCCACAACAATACGGAAGAGGCAGTTGAGCCCCATGACTTCTGGGAATATCCAACTCAAAAATGTCATCTCAGCACAAAGCCCAGTCTTTTCAGATGGCCAACAGCACTACAGCTAATATAATTAAGAAATAAACTTCCTAGGTAATGGCCGTGGCCGCCCTTCCCTCTCCACTGCACCTTCCCTGTGCTGATGGGAACTACCTCTAGGATATCCTTCCAGTTGAACGGTGCTGGTGATGATTCCAGTCCTGTACCCAGTAACCCTCTTCCACAGGATGGTCCTGGAATATCAAATATACTGCATGCTCTCCACACGGCACCATTAACATTCCTCATGTGCCTTTTGTGAGAATTACAAGCTAATTACAGAATACATAATTAAGTGCTTCATCTTTCAAATGTGAGAGAAGCAACCAAGCGGTCCTCCCTTTGAGATTGATTTAACCACTAGTGATTAGTGACATGATTCATTCTGAAATGGGAGGGGTGTGCTCTGAAGCATTATAGATGGTTGGAACCACAGGACACGTTTGATTGATTTTTTCCCTGTAAAAATAGAGTTGATTGGAAACCCCTTTCTTCTCACCCTTTGTGAATCATTGTTTAGTTCTCATTGGACTTGTGGAGCATAACCTCTTCTCACTGGCTGAGGTCAAAGTAGTGGGTCTACTAGGCATAAGACAGCTGTAATGTTCCTGCAGCATCTTACAGTCAGTGAAGCTCATCTGTGCTCACCTCCCATTCAGCCCGACAAGCCTGTGATGGGGTCTCTGGTCTCTGTTTTGCAGCTGAGAGTCCTGGGGCTCAGTGGGGTCACTCAGAGTCATGTCTCTGACTCAGCAGTGACTGGGGCCCCTGGCCGGCGTCAGTGCGGTCCCAGCATCCCAGGCACTGCCTCCTGTAATATAAAGGAAGGGTGGGCAGTCAGAGGCCAGCATGAATGTGTGTCCCGAGAATTCTCTTGTGCTTCATGCAGCTGGATGCTTCTCTTCATGAGATCTGGTGGGGGTGGAGTTATGAAAACACAAAGTAAACAGGCTGACTCATCCGCTTAAGGAAATAGATGCAATACTGTGTGGATGTTGAGATTTGATTATGGGGTTGGGCTTTGTTATGATTTTCCTTAAAATGGCTTAGGAAGTGTGGAGTAAGCCTCCATAGACATGAGGATGCCATATGTATAAGGAAAAACTCTGTTACATCTCTACTAACAACACTTCCAATACCAAATGTGTGGGTTCTTCCCATACCAGCCAATTATCTGACACCAGCTGGGTATCCTACCATTCAAGTCAGTTCTGACACCATCTTTCTGGAGGGGGTATCAGGTTCTGCAAGTTATGTCCCATGAGACTGTCTCCCTGCACCAGATGCCCATCACAGTGCCAGTTGTTTCCTGGGATTCTGACTACTTACCTATAAATCAGTGTTCCCAGGACCCCCTAAGTTTCTCATAGAACTTAGAGAAACACTTGTGTTTACTAGTTTATTGCATAGTAAGGGATATAATAAAGGATAAAGATTACCAGCCAGATGAAGAGACACCCAGGGCAAGGTTTGCAGGGTCCTGAGCTCAGGAGCGTCTGTCCTGAGGAGTTGGGGTGTCCCACCCCTTGACATGTGAATGTGCTCTCCAGCCCAGAAACTCTCCCAACTCCATACTTCAGGGAGTTTAATGGAGGCTTCATCATGGAGGCATGATTATTAACTCCATTTCTAGCCCCTCTCCACTCTCTGGAAAATGGGATGTAAGGCTGAAATTTCTAAGCTTCTGGTCATGCCTTGGCCTTCCTCATGACCAGCCCCTACCCAGGAGCCCACCAAAAGTCACCACATCAGGACCCAAGGTGTGCCTATCTCCACAAATCCTCAGGACTTCAGGTCAAAACTAACTATTATCAGGAACCAATATAGGGGGCAGAGACCAATATATGCATATTTGCTATGTATGTGTATCTAAGAATCCATATCTTAATATTTTACAACATATCAGCCCTGTGCATGGTCACCCTCTACCCACTCCTTGCCCAGTCCTCACCTCTTATTACCTTGTCTAATTTTGTCTCCATTAGATTGTATCCCACATTTAAATCCCTAACCAGAAAGTGCATGTATGTCTAATATATGAGTCAACTGACATTCCCTCTTTCCTGGGTCTGGACAATGAGGTCTAGGAGATTTTTGTTTAATTTTTCAGAATCAGCCAGTCATCTCTTTACAGTATCTTTACAGGAGATGTTCTGGGCCCCCCCACAGATCTACCATCCAACTGGAGGCACACGCATTTCTTTGCCTAAGGGTTTCCTCTGCCCACTGGAGTCCACTTTAGCATCCCCTGGGCAAGCTAGAAGGGCTGGGGGTTAGCATCTACTGAGTGAATTCCTGATGGGAGAGAGGCATAAGCACTCCAGTCCCCTCACCCCTCCACCATGGCACGTGGTCTGCAGAGTTTTCCAAGGACACTGGGCTCCAGGCACCTGCTGGGTAATGTACTCTTTGCATGCTGCCTTCCTTGTTCCTTGTCCTTTTTGTCTTGTCCCCCACGTCCCCATTGGTGTTTCTTTCAACTCCCACATAACCTCTTGCATCCATCTCTACTTGCAGCAGATTTGGGGTCTGCTGCTGAGGGAATCCAAACTAAGACACCTCTGTGCTCAGAGCAACTTCCCTCTGCCAAGTAACAAGTGCTTGCCCAGCGCCAGTTCACTGCCAGGCATCATGTGTGGAAAGCAGGGTTGCCCAGGTGAGTTCTCCAAACGCACTCTGGTTAAAGGATGAGAAATCCTGTATGGTACACCTCCTGTATAATACATCAGTGTTTTAAGGGTTCTGGAAATTCCAGCAATAAAGAAATAGCCTAACTTTGTTTATTTTAGTATTTCCTAAACATTTTGGGTAAACAATTCATTTTCCTTCCACAGCAGAAATTATATCTCAGTGTAATGTAATGGGGAATGCTTACCTAGACTAACCCTAAAAGATTTGGCCTAACATTCTTTCTGAAAAAGCTATCACAGCACAAAAGAAACTCCTTATTTTACTGATTTTAGTATATCAGCTTCTCCTCTAAGATGGGGAACAAGACAGGGATGCCAACTCTCCCGACTGTTATTCAACACAGTACTGGAGGTCCTAGCCATGACAATCAGACAAAACAAAGAAATAAAAGGCATCCAGATTGGTAAAGAAGTCGTCAAATGGTCACTATTTGTAGATGACATGATATTGTACATAAAAACCCTAAAGACTCCACTACAAAACTACTGGAACTAATATCTCAATTCAGCAAAGTTGCAGGATATGAAATTAATGCACAGAAATATGTTGTTTTCCTATACACTAATGATAAACTAGCAGAAAGAGAAATCAGGAAAACAATTCCATTCACAATTGCATCAAAAAGAATAAAATACTTAGGCATAAACCTTACCAAGGAAGTAAAAGACCTATACCCTGAAAACTATGAGATACTCTTAAGAGAAATTAAAGAGGACACTAACAAATGGAAACTCATCCCATGCTCTTGGCTAGGAAGAATTAATATTGTCATAATGGCCATCCTGCCCAAAGCAATATACAGATTTGATGCAATCCCTATCAAACTACCAACAACATTCTTCAATGAACTAGAACAAATAGTTCAAAAATTCATATGGAACCACCAAAAACTCCAAATAGCCAAAGCAATCCTGAGAAGGAAGAATAAAGTGTGTGTGGGGGGATCTCGCTCCCCAACTTCAAGCTCTACTACAGTGCTGGGATTTCTTGAGGGAAGTTCCCAATCCAAGGGATGGGATAGAGGAGAAGAGACAAACCTGAATTTTCCTACTTGCTCTAGAGACCTATATCTTATGTAGCAGTTTCTTCTTCATTCTTTGGCATTTTCTGTGGCTCAAACCCTGAATTATAGCAAGTTTCAAAGAGATTCTTAAAAGATTGGATGATATTCACCTGAGCTGAAAGAACACTAGGGTGTTTGACTTGGGAATCAGGTCAAACTTTGAAGTGATTTTTTTTCCTGCCTTTGAAGTGATTATGATGGTAAGGACCCAGGAAAGATGGGTTTCCAACTTGAGAGCCATATTTACTGACACTGAAGTAACCCTTAAATCTGATAGATGTGCTTTTTTCAGTTCTGAAGCTGTCTGTTCCTCACACTATGTGCTTGTGTCATTCAGGCTGGAAAGTGAGATCACTCAGACTCAAGACCTGACAGAAGATGATGAGTGGGAGAAGGAGAATAGTACCACCGTGGGAAGGGAAAGAACGTTGCAAGACCTGGAAGAAATAGCTAGACTTGTAAGCAAAAAGCTGGGAAGAGCCCTCTGATAGGTTTTCTTCCTCAGCTTGTCTCTCATCAGTCATCAGGTAAGCTAGTCTCCTCTTTTTTACATGCAAAGAATAGTCAAAAGACATGGTAAAATAGGTGTTGAGGGCACAGTTTCTTTGGTAATATTTAATATTGGGAAGACCTGCATGTGGGCATGTATATCCTGGTGAGTTGGTGTAGATACATATGTGGAAATCAAACCACAGGTCCTTTACCTGACAATATGCAGTGAGGTAGAGTTACTGCAGGGAAATAGCACCAGGTGAAAGGGAGAACAATCAGCTGAATAAAGATGGGTGGTAGCAGGGAGCTCCACACCTATGCGCTGCTTCTTTCTCTCAACAGGAAAGGAAAAATGAGACTCTGGTCCACGGTATAAGAGAACTTCAGAAAAAGGTGGGATGGGGCTCTAGTTTTCCCCAGGTTCCCCGCAGCGGCTCCAGTTGTCAAAGGGACAAGGGAGGGAAAATGATCATAGAGGATCCCACATGTCAGAAAAGTTTGTGCTGGGGGTGGGTTCTACCCCTGCCCCACTCTCCTGAGGCTGAGCCTCGTACCTGAATGCCATGGACTTCCCCTGCAAGCATGAGGTGAAGGGAGTGGGTGCGACATTTGGGCTATTTGGTGATCCCATGGGTTTTTCATTCTATCACAAGAAAATGGAATCCACTGACACTTTGTCGGAAGGTGAAAGGTTAATTTTATTTTCCACAGAGACTTTTTAAAATACTTAAATCCCAAGGGCTTCCCCTTTCCTTATCCAGGATTTCACTCCACCTCAACTCCTGCTCAAAATACAGTGGGTTTCCTATGATCACCCTACTTTCTGACCCACGCTTGCAGCCCTCTGTAGCCTGGAATGGCATAGGGTTCAGGGAAGTACTCCTGCTTGTGCAGACTCTAGCTTTGGTGGCCAAGACTAGTGAGAAGAAGACGGAGGTAGAATAAAGATGTTTCCAAGGGCACCAAGTATCCATTAAGGGACAATCTCCTGGCAGCTTTATCAAGGCCATGTTATTGGTTCTACACACCAAACAGTGTGCTTGTCTTCTAGAATTTTTTATTTGATGTATTTTTATTTGAAATATGTATTTATTTAAAATCATAGCTTACAAGGAAATCGCAAAAGGCAACCAAGTGTGAACAAGGCCATCTAAAGGGAGTACCAGAAGAGTCAAAGGTAAATGAAAAAGCAATCTTGAGTGGGTTTGGGTTACATGACCATGAAGCAAGCTTTTAAGTGGAAACAACTATCAAAACTGGGATAAATTCTTTGTAGCTTTAGCCCATGTCAGACTTAGGCCTAGGCTACTGAGTACTGAATTCTTTTCTGCCCTTGGTAAGGAATTTCACTCTGAAGCCATACCTTTTGTTTCTCTTCCTTCAGGAAGAGCAGAGCACAACTGCACAATGCATATATAACACTGAAGTCCCTGGTTTATATCCTGGTCCCAGCACTTAGTGAGGTATACGAAGTTGGGCAATTTAATTAGCCCCTTACAGCCTCAGTTTGAAAAACTGAATGAAGTTGTACATTTTTAACTCTTTCCTTTTTTTTGAAGAGTAAAACCTTGAAACGTCACATATTTAATGTGATTATTTAAAAGTCTAGGTTAGGCAAATATATGGATTCACAGAGAGCAGAGCTAGGATTTGTCAATCTACTGTGTGCTAGGTAATTTACACACTCTATCACTGACTCCCATCCAGAAAAGGATTAATTCAATTTATCACTCAAATATTCAGTGACCTCTACCTGCTGAGTGCATCACCATACATTGCTTAGCATTTCTCTCATTGTGTTCCAAAGATAAAAACCTGGGCACAACCACAATGCATCTGCTCAAAGACGCAAAAAGGTGGACTTACTTTTTTATTCAGAAAGCAGGTACAATTCTTACTTGATACTTTCTGTAGAATTCCATCTTCCCCTTGCCTTATTTCTCTTTAGCTTCTTAAGCTCACACTTAAGCCCATACTGCATCTGTGGAGCCCCTGCAGAGATGGACACACTGAAAATAGAAATAGAAAGTGAAAAATAGAGAATTACTTCCCTATTTCCTGTCAGTCAAATTAGTACTGATAGCCACAAAAACAAAACAAAACAGGAGGTCCAAAGCCACCAAAACAGCTTGCTTGGCCATGCCTGTCCAGGAAATATATCTGGAAAGGAAGAAATGTGGAGCCTGCATGTGCTTCAGGATAAACTTGGGGCTCAGGTTAGAAAGGCTTATGAAGCCCCTTGACTAGCCTTGCCATATAACTGCATTTGCTTCCTTCTGCTCAAAAAAAGTTTTCTTGACAGTAGCCCACTAGAGCCCATGCAAGGCTTTAAGTCTGGTGATGCTGTCACCTCAGCTGAGCTGAAAGACTATAGGTAGTTCCAGGTATTGTCAGAACAGTGGCGATTATTTTCCGGGAAGCTATTAGCCCACTTCCAAAGAACTCTAAAGCATTACTGACCCTTTAAATTACACCCATTTGCCTACATGTGTTGTAGATTTCTCAAGTGATTTCTCTAATTCTATAAAATCCATAGCATCTCTTGCTTCTGTTGTTCTTACATCCTGGCAATCAGCTCATCAGTTTAATGGTATGCCTGCTGCGCCTCTTTGTGTCTCAGACCACCGTCCTGAAAATACAGCCCTTAGCACATTTGGCTCTCTGGCCCTGGATATAATTGACTGAAGAGGAAAGGAACTGTTAGAAGTCTTCAGATGTGAAACAATGGTACCTAGATCAAAGTGGGAACAGTAGAGCTAAAAGTGGAAGGAAGGAAAAACTCAGGCTTGTCTGCTCTAACTAGGGAATATGCCCCGAGCACATCTATTCCTCTGCTACTATTACCCTCTGCAAGACACCATAAGCCCTTGCCTGGATGCCAAATTAGCCTCTTAGTCTTCCTGCTTCTGCTCTTACCCGTAATCTACTTTTCACACATAGAAAAGACTTATTCTTTAAAAACACAAATCAAATTATGTCCTTACTACTTCGAGTTCACACCTGGATTCTCACTGCAATTAAAATAAAGAACCAAACTCTAGAAGCTACAAGGCCTTCCACATAATCTCATCCATGTCAACCTTTCCCCACCTCATCTCCTCCTTCCCAGGTGTTTCCCCATGCTCCAGCCACATAACTTCCACATACACTACATATGTGCTCTTTCACAGTCTTGGCTCTTGCTGCAACCCTGCATGGGACATATTTCTTCCAGATCTCCATTTGGCTAATATTTACCATTTAGACTTCAATCCAGTATCATTTCATCAGACAGGACTTCACCTATGATAGCTCTCATGCCATCGCTAGCACTACATTTCTCTGTATTTCTTTCATAGCATTTATCATTATCATGTTGACTTATCTGTTAATGTCCCCAACTAGAATGCAGCTCTGTGAGGCAGAGACTCTGCCTGTCAATCCTGTTCACCACTGTAGACTTTCTGCTCTCATGGCCCTCTGCCCATCACTCCAACACAGTGACCAATATAGAATAGGCTTCCATCAAACAAGGGAGGAAAAGAAGGAAGGACTACGGGGAGCAAAAAAGGAGTGAGCGGTAAGTATATAAAAGGAAAAGGAAGACTGAGGTTTTTCAAGATTGATGTTTTTCCTAAGAGGAATGGCTAACAAGGAAGGAAGCTAAGAATTGTAGTTTAAGCATGAGTGGAGCCCTGATGAATGCTAAGGCCTTGGGAGTGTAGAAAGGTAGGTTCACCTTAAGGATGCTGCATGGTTTGACTCTCCTCCATTAAAAAGACATCTGATATCATACCTGATGCAAGTCAACCATCTGTAAGATAACCTTTGAGACAGCATTTCAGAATGGAAGCCTGCTTGCACCTTGAGTTACCCATCTCCTTCCCTTTCTATAGGTTAAGTTACAAGAGCTGGAAGCTTCCTGTGCTGACCAAGAGAAGGAACTGGCCAAGGTGATGGTAGTAATTTCAGTATTTCTTCCCCCAGAGGAAGGAAAAGTTGATGTTCAGTTAGAGGACACAATACATTCTGCAAATGATTGACTTACATATAATAAGGTTCCAGATCCAGAACCATTATGGGGTTGAGGAGGGGATGAAGGAAAGGAAGATAAATGCAGTCTCCTAGGTTTCCTTCTCTTCAATAATTTTTACAGGATATGTTCCATATCTGTATCTTCAACAAATTAGTATCTATTCTTCTCCCAACTGTCCCAAAATAAAATTCCCCCCAAAATAAAGCTTATCTAGCCTCAGAAAAGAAATGAGTTCATATATACAGCAAAAACATATTTAGAACAAGCAGAAAACTACATTTAGGCTCTGGGATTTAGGAGGAAATAAGTATACTCCGATTCTTAGAGAAATTTTCTGAAAGAAATTTAAGACTGAATTATGGTTTCCCAGGTAATGGAAGACTATGCATTTGTGGCCCAGCTCTGCAAAGATCAGGTCATCTGCATTAAAGTAGTTTCTTGGTAATACAACACAAAAGGGTTTGTAAGGTACAGGATAATATGAAACCAGGCTTTTCAAAGAACACTTTCTAGAACAATATTAACTCTTCAAAGTGGCATGACAAAGGGTCTTTGGGTCCCTGACAACCCAGCACCAATATCATTCTGTTACAGCCCTGGTCTCCTGACCTCTGTGCTCTTAAATTCATAACGAGCACTTTTCCTTTCATGACACCAATTACCCAGGGACCTGCCTGGGAAGGTAGGAAGTGCAGCGAGTGATCAGGAGTGGTGGTGGGTGTCGGGGCTGGAAAAGGAGACCAAGCATTCATGTTACCACGTAATAATACATGCTTCTTATGATTAGAAAAAGTATAAGGCTTCTAATTAGTAACTGTGGTTTCTTTTATTTCTCTTGGAAGAAGTACCAGGAAACTTCAAAGAACATTGAAGAAGAGGTAGAGACGCGGCTCCTTGAGAGAGAAGTGTGAGTTTTGGCAAAAAAAGGAACTCCTTGGTTTTAGTGGTAACTCCATCTCAGCCTGGATCAGAGCAAACATTCCTCTGACCAATTCCTACTTGGGATTGAGTGAGCCCCAACACCACATCTCTCTCCCTTCTGTTAGTGATTGTTTGACTCCCACTAAACCACACCAACTTTAAAATGCAGGTCCTTCTTCCATCCTTCTTAAAAAACCACAGAAACACATCTCCCTTCATGCTTTTATCACATTTTCAATTATTCAGGTTTATATTAAGGGCAGGAACATCTGATTTTAAAAGGGCTGGTAGTCAGGCACTCTGATGAGTAGGACATTCCTACTTTCACAGAAAAGCCCTTTAAACTAATACCACCCTCATTTCCCCCAAAACATAGAGACTCATCCATATAAGATAGGCATGAAACTAACCTCTAGACACATGAAGGCTGTCATATTACAAAACCCAAACTGTACACTATATTAACTACTAAACTATGACCATTAAAGGTTAGAAACAGTAAGACAAAAGCCCCTCCTTTAGGAGTTTGTCTAAAATTGAATTGGTAAGAAAACAAAGTAAAAAATCTCACTCCCATTTCTTGGTCTCTTTTTAGAAGTTAAATCTTAACTTAGTCAAGAAGTACTTACATTTATTAAATATTTTAGATCTTGGGATCAAGGTAAAGAGACCCAAACTTCATACCGCCTCTAAATAGCCTTGGTATGCATTGTGGCCTGGGAGGGCCACAGGGTACCAGGACTTGGAATTCTGAAGGATACCTTCAAGTTTCCCGAGAGCCTTCTTGAACATTAAGTATGGCTTCACTGCTAAGATAAGTTTCTACAACAGAGCTGCCCAATAAAACTTTGTGCCATCCAATAAGGAGCCAAGGGCCACCTACTGAGTACCTGAAACATGGTTAGTGTGACTGAGGAACTGATTTATTTTTATTTTAATTAATTTTAATGTTCATATCTACATGCAGCCACTGGCTTCCATAGTGGACAGCACAGCTTTAGAATATAAAACTTTTAAAATAATCATTATGTAGTATGAATATTTGAGTGTACTTTATTCAATCCCTATCTTGGTTCATTTCCACATAGATCAAATGTCTTGAGCATGAACTCTGCAAGAAAAGAATACAACAGCCAAAATAATAAGGTGAGCCTTCCACCCTGTGTCCTCTCAGTGCCACTGCCTGTCAGAGTTTCCAAAACACTATAAGCCAGGAAACATACACAAATCTTCCCATGTGCATTTTCCAAGAACAGTACTAGATATAATTTCAAAGCATTCCAACCTGAAACAAAGAAGACAACTGTCTTCCCTCTCTTACAGCCATGTAAATGACATGTCCTCGTAGAAACTAGTCTAAGACCTAAGAAGGTTCAGAATGCAAATAAGGAACATTAACTGAGGGTATGCTCTACAGAGAAGAGGCTAATATATGACACATACACCACACCGCCCACCTCCTGCAATCACAGAACTCTTTCCAGATGATCCCAACATGGTCCCGAATCTTTCAAAACACACAGCACCAGGGTTATCTGTCACTATCTGATCAGAGTTGCCCCATGAGTTAACATAAGAAGTCATCATGGAGGCAGAGCCAAGATGGCAGCATGAGTAGGACAGTGGAATCTCCTCCCAAAAACATATATATTTTTGAAAATACAACATATAGAACTATCCCTAAAAGAGAGACCAGAAGACACAGGACAACAGGCAGACTACATCCACACCTGCGAGAACCCAGGGCCTGGTGAAAGGGGTAAGATACAAGCTGAAGCCCAGTGGGACCCGAGGCCCTTCACCCCAGCTCCCGGCAGGAGGAGAGGAGTCGCAGCGGGGAGGGAGAGGGAGCCCAGGACTGCTAAACACCCAGCCCGAGCCATCCACACCAGAGCACAGACACACAGTGCATGCGTGGGGTGCTGGAAACAAGGGAAGCAGGACACTAATACCTGTGAGCGGGCCCCGCAGCTGACGCCTCTGGGACAAAGCAAAGTGAGTGCTTTTTGAAAGTTTTTAAGGGACTCGGACCCCACAACTGGATGGAAGCATCCCGGGTCACAGTCCAGTAGCTGGAAATTCCAGGGAACTCCGGGCACACTAACCCCCTGGGCAACAGCTCTGAGACCCCTCAAGGAGGTAAACAGCCAAACAGCCCCCTGTCCATTACCCATCTGGGGCACCGCCATAGCAGAGAAGCAGCCTGAGGCTGGCCACGCCCACAGCAAGGGAGCTTCCTCCATACCTGCCGGGCAAGATACAGAGATGCAGTTTACACGCTATTGCCCAACACAAGCCATTAGGGGTCGCAGTTGTCCCAGTCAAGGAAGGCCAGGGGCAAGTGGAAAAAGTCTTGGCTCTCCCAGCTGATAGACATGTCAAAAGCATACCACTGTACCTATCAACATGAAAAGGCAAAAAAATTTGATCCAGACAAGACTAACCCAGACATCTTCGACTTCTTCTACATCTTCCCCAGAGAAGGAACCTGGGGAGATAGATTTAACCAATCTTCCTGAAAAATAATTCAAAACAAAAGTCATAACCATGCTGATGGACTTGCAGAGAAATATGCAAGAACTAAGGAAGGAGAATACAAAAATAAAACAAGCTCTGGAAGGACATCAAAACAGAATGGACGAGAT